AAGATAACAATAAGAATAATGATAAGGATGAGTCACAATGACAAACGGACGATGATGAGGATGATGATGGTGAATGGTGATGACTATGATGAAGATGGTGATGATGATTCAATGGCAGCCTCAACTCGCGGACAGGGCACAGGCATGCTTCCAAAGGAAGCGACAAAACCTTAGAGCCGGCCGATAGCGTGGTGGAGGCAAAAAGCCCACGACCGCCGAGAACGGAATCTGCTACATGGACACCTGCAACGCGGGTAGCCCACCCTTCCAGAATAAAACTCTACTCGAGTTGAACCGGCAAAAGTTGCTGCATGAAAGCACCATGAGAAGCGCTCCTGCAGCTTATCATTAGGCCGGACCGGTGCCTGGAGCCAGCTCGCCACCATTGTCCAAGAACCACTCGTGGAGGTCACAGAATGACATGCAGCTACAAATGCCACGCAGTGCTGGCTCCAGCTCGCCCCATGTTTTTGTGGGGTGGGAGCGAAGCCTAAGCCCAAATGTCTTGCACGGTCTAGCAGTCTAGCACCTGCAAGCGGCGGAGTGTGCGTCGATCATGGCTGTCACCCACACACACCTCCGAGACCAGGACCCAATGCGGCCTGGCTCGAGTAGCCGGCCTCACAACACATGCCCAGTCGAGTCGCCCTCACTGTCACTACCACGATGGGAAAGGCAGAACACGGCCTGCACTGCAGGTTGAGCTGCGTACCTGCCCGGTTCCAAATCAAAGCGATCGCTCCAGACCTAGATATTCTGGCGCACGCATACTGCCGCTGGTGTGTTGCGGCCTGAGGCGAAAGCCAAAGGCAAGCAGGGAGTGCCGTTGACGGTACAGACTCCCAGGCCCGGGCAGCCCAAGCCGCATGCTGTGCAGGCACGAAAGGGTTTGTCCTGAAGCGCAGAACGTCGTGGAGATCCCTCTTAGGGTGTCTTCATTACCAACATCCTACTAGTTTGGCTTCCCCCACATGGCTCACGCCATGGTCAAGGAATGTGGGGAGACATCTGACCCTGCGCGGTTGATTCAGACTAAGGCATTGTCCCCGGCACAAACGGCTGTGCAGGATTATACCTTGGATCCACATGCCACATAGACTCACTCCACTCCGTCTCTCATGTCGACTAGCATCTGGTGTCTTAGAGATTGGGGCCCTCACCCCGCGCCCCACATGTTGGCAAGCTTTGCTAGTCTGTCTTGCTTAGTCACGTGAGTTGCGGTAGCTGCTTGGGTTGAAGCCTGTTCCTGGACCTTCTTGTTGAGTCTAGCTGTTTCATTGGGTTTGGTCTGAAAACTCACTATGGCTTCTTGCAGTCGGGCATAGGCATAGGCGGGACAACAGTAACTTGAAGCTAGAAGACTCTCTGTCCCGTCATGTCTGAGCCCAGACACTTCGTGCCAAAATTGCTGCGGAATGAAAGGCGGCCGTCTTGCAAGATGGCTCCCTAGGCTCTGCGAGATGCTAGCACAGGCGTCGAGAGTTTAGCAAGCAATACCAAAGTCCCGCTCATTAGCCCAACTCTCTTTGCTTTGACTCGCGCCAATGCCACCCGCCGCTGAGCTGGGCAAAGGGCAATAATGCCTCACTTGCCTTTCACTTGGAAAGGCTTGAAGATCTCCCGGAGGGTCAGGGCCAGCTTCCTTGGTTTCGGGTAGCGGACAGCTGTAAACTGTATTGTGTATACATGCAACCCCCCTACTCCCTGCCCCGACGAAGTCTCCACCACCACACATGCAAAACACACCAGAGTAGCTGTCCAGGCTAGGGTATAGCATCGCATAGCGATTCGGAAGCGCGGGTCTTTTGCCAGACAAGAACCTTCCAGCTTCAGGAATAGAAGCTGCCGTAAATGAGAGCTTTGCTGTTCTGCATACCTGAATGGATAACCCGAAACGATGAAGCTTCGTTCATTCATTGGTTGTGTTATGTCCGGCCCGGTTTTTCTCACGCCCTCCATCACTTGGCCTGCTTACCAACAGTCTCATTGATAGTCCAAGGGTCCGAATCAGAGGACATCCGGGGCTTCGGGCTTATATAGGCAGACCGTTTCACGCTGTGCTGCAGCAATTCTCGATCATCGGAGCGATAGCTGCACATGCCACGCAACGTTACATTAAGCTTGAAACGGTGGGTTCCAGTTTCCTCAGGTTTCATCTGTGTTTGCACGCCTCTCCTGCACCAGGCATCGAGCACATATCTGGGCACATGCATCTAGTCCATGAACATGATTAAAGAAGCCAGCAAGATGTGGCAAAGTCACAACCACCAACACCAGAGCAAGAAGCCAAAAGCTGCTGTACATGCGCCGGGGACAGCACAACTATCGCTGCTGGGAGAAATCCGATCAAATGCGAGGGGCCTACATTTCAAGACTGCAAGAAAAGCCAACAAAAGGAACATCCAAGCATGAAGAGCTGCATGGACCTATTAGATCGACGGCGGCGAGGTGAAAGATACAAAGTGCGTAGGACGACAACCGAAAACGTTCGTAGTGGATTGCTGTGCAGTGCAGCAACAAACACGTGACTGCAAAAAAACAATTGTAGGCGGGACTGCCAGCAAGCGCGGGGAGCTGGCAGCTGGCATCATCCACAGCATCACTGTCATCTTCACAACACTGCACTCAATACTACCAGTTCAGGTCTGGAGCAGTGGAAAGATGTATACGGGGACGTCCCTACTCGCTGTCTCTAGGCCCTAGGCGCCGGCAGACGGATCTCAGGGCGGGGCTTCTCGCCTTCCTTGGAATCCTGGCACTGTCGCCAGTCGACCTGCCGACGGGGACAGGCAGGCTGGCGCAGGCTGGCCACTCCTGGCCTTGTCCTCGCACCCAAGAAGTTGGCAAGCAACCTGCCAGAGCTCCAGCTCTGACTTCTTAGACTTCCTGCCGCTCCTGCACAACCCCGCCTGGCGACCGAAGTTAATCGGTATCCTCCTTCCGAGTGAGCACACATGTCGCCTCCTTCCGAAACAGCGAAACACGACCGAGCCCAGAACGGGCCGCCACCATTCGGCACAGCGGCCTGTGCCGACACAAGAGGCGCAGATCCCAACCTCTGGAATCGCATGTAAAGACCATCTCAAGGTAAGGTGATGGCGTACAGAAACCGCTCGATCTGCCGACCTGCCGCAGTTCGACGCCACAGCTGTTCCATCATGTATCTCCTCCGGCCCTGGAGAGGCCATAGCAGAACCCGAAAGCGTCAAGGGTCGGGGGAGGAGTTGGGCTCAACATCACCCAAGACTCCTCGGCAGCTCCTCTGCTAAGACCCTTTCTTGAACTAGAGATCGTGTAGCTTGCTCGGCAAAGCAAAGGTTCATCACGAATCGCGCGCCTCTGGCGCTGAGGTCGCCAGGGATCTCGAAGTAGATGTAAGGAGTGGTCTCGGCATGTCTAACGTCAGGCACCCTTTTGCAGCTGGTTTGCCTCGTCTCCCTCTGCCTAGAACGCAAAACCCTTAACCCTAAACCCAAAACCCTACGCGTACCCTATACCGATACCCCCAAAACCCTACAAACCCAGACCCGAAGAACTCCTACTGCAGGCGGTTGCTCGCGCCACCTGGTAACTGCTCTGCTCGGCTCCTCACTGGGTCATCGTTCAAGTTGTCAGCCACCTCGGAGTCTTCAGGGCAAGCAGGATCCTACGGACAGTGATTACACGACAATATGAATGGCACCAGAGCGTAGAGGATTAGCGCAACGATTCTGACTGCAATGCTAGAACCTGCAGTAGATACCCGAGATGACAAGGCCGCAAGAGGCCGTAACATCAACATGTCCTTGAACCCAACAGCCCTTAAAATCTTGAGCCGCAGAGAGATGAAGTCAGGACTCAACAGACCCCTGCGCCTTCGCATGGCCATGTGTTCTCTGAATCGAACCGTCCGAATCCTGGCAGCCTTGAAAGGCCCGGGCATCTTCATGGGTTGATATCCGCTTGAACGTTGCCTCCGAGCCGAAGACGCGCAGTCATAGATTCACTAGATTGCTACAGCAATCTGGCATACGTGAATGTAAACGAAGCCCAAGATCTTGATGCAGGAGAAGAAATTCATGCTTTGATTCAGCGACCCCTGAAGCGGGCCAGAGTCTCACTCCATCACTCCAGTGCCAAGCACAAAACCCAAAGGGGCTTTGGCCCAACTCTCGTGTTACTTCACTGGGCAAGGCTGCGGTTTTCGGTTCACTTGGCAACGGTGCACACAGCTTGGCTGAGCGAGGCACACCGGCGAGATGCTGCTTCGTCGCCGCCTGCTCTCGAGCCGTGCCCTTTAAACATTGGGCCTTTGGTACATGTGAATTCTGCGTAGGTTTCAATTGCCAATTGGTGACAGGTGGTGTTTCATTGCACGGCACTGTACTTACTCCCAGTTTCTGACATGCGGTCCCTCTGCGAGGCAACGGAATGGTTGCCCGGTCGACTTCCGGGATCACAGTTCTCTGGCTAAGTGCTTCCCAGTCCTCAAGTGCTTCTCTAGCGTCGGCACCGGCACCTCAGGTGACCCGAAATGCAGGGGCCGAGTTCGCAGGTCTCTTTGCCTTTGCCCCTTCTCCGGCGCCGAGCTTTTCTGTGCAGAAAGTTCTGCCTCCATCGAGCTAAATGCTGGCCTGATCGGCTCACAGATCCCAAAAAAAGGTGCAGCCATCGTCCCGTCCGCCAACTGTAACAAAGGGGCGAGGGGCGGGAGGATGAAGCTTTAGCCTCGGAAGATCGGACCGCTCATCCACCCTGGAGATCTCAGTCCCATTCATAGGTCTCTGCTTGTCAGCCTTCAGCTTCCAAGCTCAACACGACCCTCCGAATTCGGAGCCACACAGGTTAAATCGCCAGATGTACTGGCTCAGATTTCTGAACCCGATGACAAGCCTTCGTAGACGCAAAATACTAAAAGTAACCTTCCCATTCAGGCGTCGCCTCTTTCGAGGTCGCCTTTTTGGGGAGAACTACACAAATGCAGGCCGTTCGGTCCAGGTCGGACCATGCCGCTAAACTACCTACAATCCGATCTGCACAGTCTTCAGGCGGAGGACTTCTCTGGCTTCCCGCGGCTTTGGTGCACTTGGCTTCCTCGGCGAATGCACGACATTGAGTTCGCAAGTCTTGTCGCCTACAATGACTCCGATCGGACCACTATCGGCAGCGTCTCGGCATCAGCAGCTGCGTTTTTGCTCGCGAGACCGGCCTCGTGGCATCAGGGCACGTGTCAAAGTGTGCAGAGCATGCGCAAAGCCACGTGCAAGAGCGCTCTCTCTCTTCCAGCCTTCCCTCCCGCTCTTTGGCAGGTTTGCTTCTGCTGCGCAACGCTGTAGGGACATCGAACCAGCCCATAGACGCTTCTGAGCAGCATGGTGACATGATAGTGCGACAGCAGCTCAGAGATCGGTACAGTAGTGGCTACCACTCTGTGCCTTGTGCTTCGGAGGCTGGTTGGCTCTGCGGGCGTCGAGCATTGATGTTCCAGCCTAGACACAAGCATGTTGAGTGTAATCTCAGGAGCGCCGAGTAATCTCAGGAGCGCCGACACGATCGATCACGATCTGGCGACGGAATCACGGTACAAAGCCACCTTGAGCAAGCTTGGCCGCTCCTGCTTGAATCTCCTGCAAGTTGAGCATGCCAAGGATGTTGCAGCTATGTTCGCTTCACAGCATGCACTCCTTCCACTCATCTGTTTCCATGTCGGCAGAAGGGAGGATCTGTACGTAGCTCCTGCCTCAGCATCGCACCACCGCCGCTCTGACTGTGGTTCCTAATTGGGTTGCCTTGCAGGCAGGGAAACGGTGCTGTTGTGCTGGCGAAGTGCTGACAGGGGTTCCCAGGAAACAGAATTCGTCGTCGCATTCCTCCCAATCACTTTCCTCCACCGACGAGCTGTCATCGCTTGATGACTCGCTGTCTTCAGCAGTGTCGCCCTCAACAATTTTGTCTCCTCCCGTCTTTGGCATCTGCATCTCGGTGCTAGCCTCGCTGTCAATGCATCAACGCGTTGCAAACCAAGCCTCCGAAAATGACAAGCCAGTTTTTAAGCATCTTTCACTGGCAGGTTCAAAGCCGCAGCTGCAGCCAGGGCTTGAGTACAATCCCGCATTCTGCTTCCGAGAAGTTTGCACAGGGGGGTCATGGACGTGCCTCGCCAGGCTCGTGACGACTGGTCGCGATTGGCGGCAACTTCCTCTGGCCCAAGGAGCTGAGGAAGCCCACGGAGCACCTTGCAGACGTGCATGAACCGTTGGGTTTGCTTTCGCTACGCGCTGCCCCAAAGCCCCAAAGCCCCAAAGGCTATGGTAGTAGTGGGGGACCTCTTCTTGGAATGGGACACAACGTTCGAAGATCGATCGGAAAAGCAAACCTGGTTGAGTAGTCTCCAATGTTCGCTATGGAGAGGCTCACCTGAGAAGCGCACTAAGTCACTAAGTTTAGTCTGACGCTCCGTCTATCTCTCCCTCTTGCTTGCTTGCGCCAGGTTTAAGGCAAGGGTATTGCCCCCCCTTGGAGGGAAAACTTTCGTCCAGCGTCCAGCGCCACAGACAGTCAGCGTGAAACTGCTTGGGTACATTACTGCCCGAGGTGGTAGCCATGCCTTAGGACTGAGCACTCAAGACATGCCTGCATCAGCAGGTAGGTGGAAGACAGTATCTCGCAACACTTTTTCGCGTCACCGGCCCCCTGCCATGGCTGCAGACGAAGTACTTGCTTGCCCGTGGCGTTCGACACACGGGAGACACACTGATTTGGAACGGAAAAATCGAAACAGCTGCCTTAGGGGGTGTGTACGGCAAACATGGATGGGCTTTGGAACGCCTCAGCGGCCATCTTTAGAGAATCATAAGGAAGGGGCGAAGGCCCCGGCATCAGCGGCCCGTCTGGATTGGGGCGTATGGGTGTGCAGATTCTGTGTTTTCCACATCCCACGCAAGAAAGCAAAACTGGGCAAAATCCTGCAGACTCGCCCCGGGCGCTTCTTCGGAAGGAAAACTACAGAAGGAAAAGTGGGGCTTGGACAAGCCCGCGCAAACTCCCCAGTGCCCATGGAAGAATGCATTCTCGGTCGGGTTGCCACTATCATGGACTTGTACGCGATCTTAACTGAGCGAGATACCCGCGGAGTAATGCCGCAATCACGGTCCGGTAGCTGGTCAGGCTATCCCTAAGGTCCTGGGCAGCAGCGGTCGCCCTGGGGGAACGCTGCAGAGCAATTTCCCCGGCAAGAGCGTGCGGCAAGAGCAGGGCGGGAGGTGGTGCGCGATGGTTGAGGGTCCCGGAGCTTCTGTGTCCAGCAAAAGGCGCGAAGAGAACCCTCGGGCGGGGGGGAGACTCGGGTGGCTCTTGGACCCCTCACGGCCTAAGCAAAAAACTTTGTTTCTTCTTTCTGTGCCAAAATCTCTCTCTCCTGCTTGCTTGCTCCGGAGCAAAAGGCGCTCACGCCCCCCGTTCGTAGGGGCTCCGTTCGTCCAGCGTGCGGCGCTCTGGTCGGCGCGAAAATAGCGGGGTTCTCCCCGGCCTACACCTTTAATCTTTCCCTTTTTTGCCAGGGCTAGGTGGAGGGTTGTGCCCTCCATCGAGCGCGGATGCGCCCCCGACAGTTGCGGGTGCCAAGCGATTCTGCCGCACGGCAACCAAGTCATGGACCCGAAACAAAGCAAGCTATGAAGAAATGCACATAACAGGAAATGTGATCATTGCCGTCGTTGTACAATGCAAACAGACGCTCGCCCTCTTGCTTGCTGCCGGCTTCAGGAGAGGAGACCCTTGAGACCCCCCCCACGCAAATGCGCGCAGCCAAGTCTCAGGTCTTCGCAGCGGAGTGAGTCCATTGTCGCTCATGCGACTCTCTATGCTAGCTTCTTCTTCTTCTTCTCCGGGGTTCAGGGAGCAGATCAGGCTCCCCGCGCCGGATGGCGCGCCCCTGTTTGGGGGCCTTGTGGGGGTGTCGGTAAAAGATACAGATGCTCGGTATTGGGGGAAAAGCTACGATTGCAAGGTTGCTAGCTCTCTCTCTCTCTCTCTCTCTCTCTATATATATATATATATATCTATCTATTTAGAAATATCTCTCTCTCTCTCCCTCTCTCTCCCTCTCTTTATTTGTATGTTTTTTTCTTGGGTCTGTATTTTCTGCCCCTTCACTCCAACTTGCTGATCAGTCTTCGCCAGGCCGGGCCGCTTCAGCCGCTCTTCGCGCAAGCGTGCGAGCTCCTGCCGATGGCCATCAGAAGAAAGAGCGTCCAAACCCCCGGTTTAGGGTTCAGGGTTTTACACTCTCACAACTCGGACATGCCAGGCGAGGATCCATAGGTGCACAGGTCGGCGTGACACTTCCAACTGCCCAGTTTTTGGGTTTAGGGTTTAGGGTTTAGGGCAAAACCAAAAACCCTCAAAACACTCTTTTCCCTGACCCCTTTTCGCATCCAGGCCTATTGCAACTGCTCCAACCCCTAAAACCCGACTGCCCCAACCTCTAAACCGCAGCCCAAACTCCCACAAACCCGAAAACAAGCCCAAACTCCCTGACGTCCTCTCGTCTCGCCACGTGTTCTTGCTGCCGGTCTGCTAGCCGCTGTTGCGCAATCTCACGATGGCGCACCTGGGAGAAGAGAGGAACGTAATCACAATCATGTAACGTTGTAATGAACTGTATTGTATAAGACAGTTCAATATAGTACAACATATTAGCAAATACTTATATTAACATATGAAGACTTTCCTATCACATATCATATCATGTCATTTTTGTCACCCACCTGGCACTGATTGTTATGATCTCTTGCTTAGTTTCTAGATGGGCACTTGGGGTTTCGGGCTTTGTCTCCCACATCGCAAAGCACGGCCTTGGTGTGGGGTATATAAGGGGCTTAGGGGAATTGAGACTTAGGGGCTCCCCCTCCCCCCTCAGCACGGCACTTTTGCGGAACCGTCCATGCGAAGCAGCCGGAAGGCCTGGCAAAGAGGGGGACAAGAAGGCAACGGCCGACGCTCCCTCAGCTGAACCGCGGGCTGCAGTCCTCTCCGAGCATGCTGCTCTTGATCTCCTCATCCAATGCCGTGGGTGTGGAAAGGGATGGTGCTGAGTTCACCTCCAGCAGATAAAGCCTGGCAGATGGGCTTCGAGCTCTCGTGTAGCGACAATCCAGCTATCCGCGCGAGCCTCTCATCTTCGTCCAGGATGAAATCGAACCCAAGAATTTCGAAGCACGCCTGCACGACTCTCCCAGCTGTATTTGAAGCCGGGACAGCTGAGAGTGGCATATGGACGACAAGCGAGGACAACTTAAAACCTTAACTCTCTACAATAACCGCGTCAAAGCTGCGCTTCTGCAGCCAGATCCTTGCTCAAAACACGGGCGAGTGCGCCCGAAGTAGCTGTGATAGTTCTCCTTCGAGGCATCTGGCTTGCCAATGTGTGCGTTGAAAGAAGCACAGATCGAAGTCGGAATCGGCCTGCATTTTCGGGCCAATGGAAAAGAGTGTCTTGCGAATACACGTCGCGATCTCCGTCCAAACGGCTTGACCTTACTGCTCGGCATGAACCCTTCCTGCTGAACTCCTTGCAGAACCCTTGAAAGAAACCCTAGACCACCCCGGTGCATTCTGTATGGAACTCACATTCTACCAAAGCGGACTGCCCGGCAGGTCTAAGCATGGGACCATCCGCCACACAGCTGTCCAGCACGGTTCGCAATGAACGCTTGCTGCCCGTAGCCCCATCTTCCGTGTCTTCCTTACCGGGGCCAGAAGATGGGAGAGTCCATTCTGCAATACAACTGCACGACATGCCATACGGTGTCCTTTGCAGGGAGTTCTTTGCAACTGAGGGCTGGTCAAACGCATCACTCTCGTAGTTGATCGAAAAGTTGGTCAGGTGCATCTCTCGATCACTCAGGTTGTCAGAAGCTGGCGGCTCATATGGATCTGTGCAAAAACGTGCCAAGCCGTCGGTGTAGAGGTAAACCGTGAGAGGGTGGACGCTTGTGACGAGGACGTACACGCGCATGTCCCACTTGTAGCCGTCAATCAGCATGGGTCTGCTCAAGAACTTCTGGACAACGAATTTGCTTCTCGGCTCCATTACCTCAAAAGCTTTGAGCTGGTCGGCTGTTGAATGTTGCTGCGACATCTACTGTGTTGCGTCTACCCCTCAACATATCTCGCAGCTTCTTGGGCATCACCCTGAAGTTTCTTACTTTCACATCCCATGTGCTCCTGATGCCGCTGCTTGCAGTTTATCTGGAATTGGATACGAGGTTTGGGCTTGAGGTCAGACCCTCTCTCCTATTGCAGCTGCAAATACACGTCGCAGAGCATCGCTGGCTGCGCCACCTCGCACATCGGCGGCTCGGACCTGGATGGATTGCGGGATCCTTTGTACCACACAGTCCAGCACGGAACCGCTACTCGACCCCCTTCGGTAGCCTGGAAGAGAAAAATGCCGACACCGCGGGCACCAGACCGTGGCTTCGCAATGAATGTCAACGTCTCCTCCTTGCACCCCACGACTCAGGGCTTTGACTCTCCCTTCTGTGGGGTTTTCGACCACACTCGCACAATGCAGGCATGGATTCCAGCACTCATACGGCTTACGGTCTAGATTACGCTCTCACAGCTCGGACAAGCCAGGCGAGGTCCAATGTGTGGTGGTCGGCGCGATACTGAGCACATGCTCTGACCGAAACTGCAGGGTCTAGATTAGGGTTCAGCAGCTAGGGCCGTGCGACATTCACAGACGAAACCCTCTCACAGTCCGCCCTGCCACCCTGCGGCCCAGTTCTCCTTAACTGACCCACACCCTGGCTTTGCCTTCAACTCTTCCAAACAAAGGCTACGCATCCTCGTCATCAGAGTCGTCGGTGCTAGTCGCATCCGTGGATGTGCCTCTCTTGCCGAACAAGTTTTATCGAAGGGATTCTACTGTGGGCAACAAACTAAACTAGGACTCTCCTTACAATAGGCCGGGCCCGGCAAGTTGGGGGCAAGCATCAGTGAAGTGCTTTAAAAAACTTTGCAGCCCTCCTACTCCAACCCACGGGTCGCCTTCTCTCTGCAGCACAAGGCGTAAGCGTTCGTGACCCTGTCCGCGTTTCACGACCCACGCACTCCCTGTCCTCCAAGTCCCCCGTCCCCTTACCCTCTCTTTTTGTTGTGGACGGCTCTGTCCCCCCACTCCCCACTCCCCTCCCAAACACTGCTTTTTTAACAAGTTAACCGGCCACTTCCAACAACTCGTTGAGCACGTCAGTTTCGAGCTTCAATCCTGCCCTGCATCGTGGTCGCGAGCGTATGCACGTAATGCTTTAGCTTTTTCCCCGTGTGCAGGAAGGCACCTGAAGCAGTTCTTGGGTATCTCGGACTTCGTCTGCTACATTAAATTCTACACCGGCAGATGGCCCTAAACCCTAAATTCCTACCCGGCCTTCGGGGGCAATTATCACTCAACATGCCCGGGGCCTCTGCGCTTCAGGGCCTTCTCCCTAAAACCCCACGGACGGGTAGCTCTGCAAAGCCACTCTCTGTGCCTCGAGACCAGGCTCGCTTCTTTCCTGGACTCTGGGCTCGTCCTCTCACATCAGAGTCCTGCAAACCACGCGTGGGGTATGGCCAGAGAGAGAGAGAGAAAGAGAGAGAGAGAGAAAGAGAGAGAGAGAGAGAGAGAGAGAGAGACAGAGAGAGAGAGAGAGCGAGCGAGCGGGAGCGAGAGTGACAGCCAGAAAGAGCGAGAGAGAGATGGATGTGTGTGTGTGTGTCTGTGAGTATGTATGTGTATTATATATATATATATATACACTATATATGTATATATATATATATACACACTCATACATGTGTATCTATGTATATACGTATGTATATACATATATATACGCATCATAGTCTATCGATACTTATGGCAATATCAATTTTTTATTTGTGGATACAAACATACATGTGTATAGATATATACGTATATAAATACATACACATACACATACACATACACATACACATACGCATGCGCATGCACATGCACATGCACATGCACATGCACATGCACATACACATACACA